TGAAGACAATATCCCCCTAGTAGGAAAAAAACTGAAGAATATAGGCTTATTCAGATTTTATATAAAATTAAAATAAATTCCTCTCACTCTTACTAACATGCACAGTAGGATTTATCTATTTCATATAGAATTTTCAAAGTATTAATATAAAATTATTCATATTATTAAGTTTCTAACTTATATGCCTAAAAATCATATATGGTGTTTTACAATATTGATTTATCAAAGTCATTGATTTACAATTTTGTAGAATTTCTGGTGCTGAGCTTTGTTTCTCTTTATGTGTGTAAGAGTCACCACCAACCACATTGTTTAAAAGCCTCTCTCTAATACACGGAATATAAAGAAAAATAGTATGGGAGCAACAAATGGCCAGAGCCAAGGAATTGTAAATTTTGTCCACAGAAAGGACCTTGGGGGTGTGTGACTGAGAAGAGGTCTTGAGCACAGATGGAAGGAAGTAGGCACTCTGGTGATAGTTGTGGTGTTGGAACAATATATTTATTAAAAAGTATAATTAACAATATTGAAAATCACAGTACTAAAATACAAATTTGTTTAATAACATCAAACTATAATACTATAGATCAAAGGCATTCAAGGAATGTACTTGAAAGTTGACATTGGTTAAGTGTACAAAGATGAAAGTAAAAAAGTACTAGTGAAAAGCAGCTTATAATGCCTAGAAACTGAACATCGTCCAAAAGTCCATCCAGAGAGAAACGACAAATCTTTAGGAAACATATGAGAAAAATTAATTTGGACCTAACTTTATTGATGTTGAGAACATCTTCAATCTATAGTATTAGAGTATGATGTCATTAAACAGACATGTATTGAAGTACTGTGATTTGCAATATTGGCAGGAATAGTTATGTGTACCTCTAATTGTTATTCTGTTCAGCAATGATGAGATGTCTTTTCTTCCTTTTGGGGAGGTGAGAGTATTAATTTTTCTGCCCATCTATATATGTCTCTTTACCTCTTCCACTTTATGACTTTCAGTATATTTAATTTCATTGATATATAAAAAAATAAATATTTGTGTTCGATAACTTCTAGCTACAAAACTAATCCTTCTGTTATTTGTCCTTAGCGAATTTTGAGAACTAAAAACCAAAGACACTAAAGCTATTTCAACTATGTAAGAATTGCTTTAAACTAAGTATTTAGGTGGGATTTTATTTCACTATTTACTGGTCTTATTGTACTGCTCAAGCTTGTCTGTAGAGAATGTTCTTAAGATACTACATTCACAATCCATCAATTGCTTCTATTAAATGACTATGAATATTCTTTACTTATTGTCTGGAAATATAACTCAAAATTAAAGGGGGCAGGAGTATAGTCTAATATAGCAGCTAGGGTAAGCAATTGACCTGGGGTTTAGTCCCTGACATCCCATATGGTCCGAAGAGCACTGACAGTAGTAATTACTGAGCTCAGAGCCAGGAGTAACTACTGAACATTTTGTGGCCCACAAACGAAACAAAATTAGGAGGGGACGTTATTCAAAGAATATATGTGAAAAGAAGTAATTAGAGATTCAGTTTCTTCAGAGAAGGGTTCTTCATTGTGTGGCTCCGTGTTTCACTCTTCCTCCTCTGAATCAGAACTTCAGAACTTCATGATTTTGCTAAAATATGCTCTTAAATTCCTTCCTAAGAAGAGATATTTTGTATACAAACTTTCTAAGTTTCTCTCATATGAAAACATCTTTCTTTTTGTTCTTATATTTTACTGGTTCTTTTCATTGCAGGGTAGATTCTCTTTGTCAAACATTTTCTCTTAGAACTTTGAAAATGTTACTTAAGCGTTTTGTAGAATTTACTTAGCAGATGGTAAGATTCTTGTCATTTCAATTCTTGATTCTTTTGTAAGAGATTTACTTTTCCCTTTGGAAGAATTTAGAATCTTCTTTTTGTAATTGATATTCTGAAATTTCATGTTTTCTTTTGGGGGCATAAATATTTACTCATATCTTAGTCTGAGTGTTTTGTGGGTTTCCAAAACTTATTTACTTTTCTCAGCAATGGGAAATTCTCTTTGGAATAGTCTTTTATTTCTGCTTTATTCCTCAAAATACTATGAAGTAGTTGTTGAATTTTCTGAGTTTATAGCATGTTTTGTCTTTCTGCTCCATTGTTGTGTTCATTTTTTTGTTCTGGAAGACTTATTTACTCAACTTTATTTCTCAAAGCATATATTGATTTAAACTTTTGGAAATTACATTTTCAATAAAATCTGGGTTTTATGTTATTTTTCATACACTGGTGTTTAAATTGTAGAAATATCTTGTTGAATCCCGTTGATGATGCTGATTCAAAATTTTTTAAAAGTAATTAGGAGTTAACCAGTTGAGGAGTTACAATGAGGGGTCAGTATACCACTGAAATCTATCTTCCAGCTCAATGACTCATGAGAACAAAACTTATCAGGCTTTGAAATCCGTGCCTAAGTTATCTCTATGATCATGTTTCTTGTAAATCATTTTTTTAAACATTTTATGTTGTGATTTTACTTTTCTTAAAAAGAAATCATCTTTCTGGGAATTTAGTTCAGCAGTAGAGTCTTGTATGAGACCCTGATTTCAATTGCTAGTACCATGCATATAAAAATTACATAAATATTTTAGAATGCTTTGATTTACTAATTTTTGTTTATCTGCAACATAAATAAGCATAAGACTGGAGAAATCTTTGTTTCCAGATGAGTTTTGTTGTTCTAGTGAGTCATTGAGCTAGAAAACAGATTTCACTGATATACTGACCTGCCCCCCCCCATATTAACTCCTCAACTGGTTTGCTCGAGCGGGCCCAGTAACGTCTCCATTGGAGACTTTGTTGTTACTGTGTCTGGCATATCGAATACTCTCGGTAGCTTGCCGGGCTCTCCGAAGCTTGCCGGGCTCTCCGGCAACTGGTTAAACTCTTCAAAATTGAATTCCAGATGAAGGTTGTTCTACCCCCTAAGATGAAGAGTCCATATGTGTATGTTCTACTAGTCTTCTTTTATTTGATCCCTATTTCTCTCTCCTACTCTCTGTGATAAGTATCAATTCTGGAACTTGTCCATACTTCTGTCAGACTAATTGCTTCCTTCCTAGGTGTGTGCCAGGCAGCTGCTATTTATGTTCTGCTTCATTGACTGCTGATATTCTCTCACTTCTTCGTTTCTGTATGTCTTCTTTCTTTCCTTCCTCAATAGTCAGATTAATGGAGTTTCTGAAGGCAAAAAATCAATGTGTGTGTGTCTGTGTGTGTGTGTGCTGTCATCTTAAACTATAAATGTTTTCAATTATAATAATGTGATTCAGGGTATTTATCTCCCTTTTCACGTAGTACCACATTCGTGGTAAGTTCAGTTATTAGGAGGACATCCCAAATAACACCGTTTTGCTGTTTCACCTATCATTTCTAAGTATCTTTGCTTCTGCTTTGTACTTCTACTACCCACTCTCTTTCTTATCAGCAACTTTAATTGAAATCTTATACTGAACTCTGATAATTTCTAATATCATACTCCTTTTCTTCACATACTACTCAGTTTCTACTTAATTCACACTTTGGACCTATCATGATACCCAGCTACTCAACCTAAGTTTATCCTTCTGTTTCACTTCCTTTTAGATTCAGCTCAGATTACACAACTCTTCATGTCTACCTACATGTACTTCCTGTCAGAACCTTAAACATAGACCAATCAACTTGCTTTCTATAATATTTTCTGGACTCATGTACTGTCTCCAACAACTATGTGGCCAATGCATATATATTAATAAGAAAAGGGACTTTGATAAAGTTGCTAAAATTTTTCGTGAATCCATATCTTGATCTTTAAAATTAGGATAAGGCTAGAATTCATGAAATGGTGCATGTAAATTGCTTGGAAAATTTAATGAAAAGTTCAATAGACTGGGGTGGATCAATAGCATAGTGGGTATGACTCTTGCCTTGTGTCTGACCTGGGTTCCATAGAACCTCATATGGCGACTTCCACCCCCATGTCACCAGGAGTGATCTCCCTGAGCATAGTGCCAGTAGTAAGCCTTAAGCACTGCTGGCTGTGCACTGCATCCCCCTCAAATAACAATCAACCATTAACCAGGAGAGGTAATGTTCTCCAATCTAAAACTGTTGGTAAAATAGTAGTATGCTTTAATAAAGTTAAAGAAAACTATGTAAGTCCTCAAGCATGAAATTTATATTAAATCAGTCTTCCAATTTTTTAACCATGGAAAAGAAATATTTTTGTTTTGAAACTACATTAAAAACCTCAAAATAAATTGGTGTTTCTCTTATTCTTTTTTTCTAAGACTAGATTGATAGTTACCTCTCTGGATTGTTAAAAAGAATTTGTCATAATTATTATAGGATAATGAACTCACATCTAATTATAACACCTATTAATATAGTATGTAATAATTACAAACATCTAGGCATGGTGCTTTATATTTTCCTTTGTTTAGCAATTCAAAATATAGATGAAACCAAATGCAGTATTATTTCTCACTGGCATTCATAGTTATTAGGAATTTTAAAGATCCCAGGATTTTTTCCCCAGTGTGTATCTCAGAACATCTTTGGTGATAGGTATTCTAATAAATCCCTAATCTAGACAAATTCCTGGAGGAAGACCATTTAACCCCTGCTAACTATTTCTCTGATTACTAGATCCCAATTCTAATGAAAGTCTCACTAATTTAATATTTAAACAATGCCCTTGAACTAACTCTGTGATTTTTTGAGATGTGTAATATTTTTCAAAGACTTCACCCACGGAATCCAGGTAACATGGAACTTTGTGACCTTGGACTCTGGGCTCAACAGGACCCGGGAGCAGAGATCCTCTGCCCATTTCCCCCAGTCTCTGGTGACCCAGGGGTGAGACCCATAAGCCATATCCTGCCTGCTGGTGCCAGATAATCTTGTCATCAACCACATCCAGATCACACTGCCGCTTCTCCCAGAAGAAAGCATAACATGAGGCCCCCCATAACCATGCCACCGGACTCCACGCCAGGCTGCTTCACTTGGAGTGCCCTAGAGGGGAGCAGGTAAGAGCCCTCCCTGCCCCCAAGGGACCCATCCCCATAGCCGACCTCCACAACCCAACCGCCGCCATGCTCAAGGTCTCTCCCCACATGTTCTGGGTGAGCCTCATCTATAAGTGAACATATTTCTGGACCTACACATCATAAGTGTCCCCATTCTCCATAATTACCACACCATATTTGATGGGGTTCAGACAGTAGGCAAAAAAATCATAGAGGGAAATATATATATGCATATATACATATTTTCAGATATATATATATATATATACCAAAGGTCACATAACCCAAACTTTAACAACATGTTAGTCATATCCTATAGAATGTCTTAAAGTCTCCTGCCAAAATAGAACAATCTTCACACTGTATGCTATATGAACAATTTTTTGAAAGCATATTCAGCAGTTCTTCATAAGAGACAATACAAAATATATTCTTTCGTTTGTGTTTTGGGACAGGGATTGAGGCTTGGCATGGAAACATCCCGAATTTGGTGGTGGGAAGGTATAACAGTGGTAGGATTGGTATTTGAATATTAAATGTAATCAAATATTGTGAGCTAACATAAAATTTAAAAAAAATTTTTTTAAAGACTACATAGTGTAGTTTTAAGTATTATGCCACCAAATCCTTAAGAAGTCTTGCAACAAAACAATGACAATCTATCTATCTATCTATCTATCTATCTATCTATGCATATATAACGTATGTTTTGTTTTAAATGATGAATACCCCAAAAGTATACTGGTGTAGTATAATGCTACTTTAATAAAACATCTCTTAAATATGTTTTACTCTGGAGTCCTCTTTATGAAATTTCATAAATCAAAATAATGCGGTAACAATGGGTCCTATTGTAATCTTAAGAAACTTCTCTAATTTTGTGGTCTCCATTTACTAAACATTAAAATGAATTTTGGTACAATTTAAATGAAATAATGTGCCAAGGAACTTCACAGATAGTGATGAACAGGGAATGTTTATTGAATCCGAAGAATTAAGTAGGCATGACATTCTAGAGATAAAAGATAAAATCTATTTTAAAAAATTAGGATTAAGGCTTACATTGGCAATTCTCTTGTCTTCATATTCTTTATTTTTCACTTGTCTTTAGTTTTATATAATGCTTAGTTGATGAATCCATCCCTCATTTTTAAAATCTCCCTATAACCAAATTAAAAGATAGTATATTATACTTTCAGCATGGTATTATGTTTATACGCTAGAAAAGTTTAATTGACTGTATATTCTGGGAAAATGTTAAGACAAAATCACTTGAGGCAGACATATACTGACTATTAAATATTATTTGAAAATTCTGTAGACATTTGTTTTTCTAAATAGTTAAAGAACATTCTCTAAAAATCTATGCTATGCCTAGCTATGACTTACTTTTATAACCTGGATTACCCAAAGGGATTACTATAATGTGATTAAATTCCAAGTGTAGACTTAAGGTCCAATTTTGGAAAAAGTTTGATTGAGCATATAATAACTTCCTCTTAAATTTACAGATTAAAATATTTTTCCAGTTTATGACATTTGAATAGATTTATAATTGTTTTCTGAGAAATGTCCCAGTTAGAAAAAAATCAGAGTTGTATGAAATATTGTGGACATCATGTTCTGCATATACTCAGACCTGGATAAGTAGGGAAATCAATAGCCAACTAGGGAATTCTTTACCACTAATCACAATCCCAGCTTCCTTAGCAAGGCTCTAAGAATAGAAAAATCAAATATCTGAAGACTAAATAACTCACTTGTACTAGAATGTAAACTTCCCGAGAGCAAAGACTGGAGCTTATTCATATTTGTGTTCCCAAAAAAAAATGTTGGCCGAATATAAACTATATGTATAAAATAATATTAGCTTCATCACTTTTTAAGTATTTAGCATAAGCATTTCTATTTTGACTCAAAAAGGGGGGAAAAGAGGCCAATAAAGAGACTGTAGGATTAAAAAATATATATCTATTTGTGGATGCTCCTGTTTAAATAAAAATTAGCCCACCTAGGCATTCTCTCAAAGGGATAAACAAACCATAAACTCAGACACAAAAACTACTCATTTCTGTAGTTAGTCTCATTTCCCTTAGTAGTGCAAGCTAGCAAGAATTTTCCAGTAACTACAATTTGAATAACTCAGTCTTCCAAGGAAGAAAACAAGCAAAACTAAATAAACATGCTTTAGCCTCATAGTTTTCCTCCTCACTGTTTCAACTTAAACAGTCCCTCTTAAAGTACCTAATTTCTCCACAGAACCTGTCAAATAAGTCTGTTGTGGACGCCCACAATTGGCTGCCACCCTAAGCGGTATTCTATCCAGTATATGTCAGTGCCTTTTAATTGCTAAAAAGAATAGTATCCATGTTAATTATACCCTAATCACTTCTAGTAGTTTCTCTTTAAAATACGAAATCTTGAAAATAACCCACTAAAATGTACTTGTAAATTTTGGGGTTTTGGCAGACAAAAACAGAACTTCTGAGAAGACGTTGTGTGAATTTTCCAAAGAAGGAAATCAATCAGAGGAAACCACATGGGAACAGTTCTTTTGGACCCTGGCTGGGGACTTTTATCCTGGATGTTTAAATTTCACAATCGGGTATCAGCAGATACCTACAAGAATATAGCAAAACTTGAATGTTATTCTTCATGATTGCTATAATTTGTAGAGTTGGCCCTAACAACGGCAAAGCAAGGGAGTGCTTTTATGAGCAGGGTGGCTACATCTTTCTGCCAGTAAGTGCTTAATGACTCATTTTCCTCAATACAATTTTCATAAGACTGGAATTCAAAGAGGGATGTCTGGATAATGTCAGAGGGAAAGCACACAAGCCACTGTCTTGCTCTTTGCCGGAAAAAGCCTCTGGTGGGAGCTGGACATGTTAATGAAAACAAACGGCAACAGAAATCATGAATATTTTCTCATTACCTTTCAGGAACAATCTCTGAGAGGTCATCATAAAGTGCGTTTTAGTCAGGTTGAGAACAGTAAAAACTTTTCAAGAAGAAGAAAACCATTAGTGTAAAAAATGAAGACACAGTAGGGTAACAAATGTATTTATGTTGAACCCAGAAGCTATCCAAGTGATCAGTGTTGAACTAGCCTGAACATTTTTTTCAAAACTCTTGTGGGCTGGAGCGATAGCACAGTGGGTAGGGCGTTCGCCTTACAAGCGGCCAGCATGGCCGACCCGAGTTCGATTCCTCCGCCCCTCTCGGAGAGCCCGGCAAGCTACCGAGAGTATTCGATATGCCAGACACAGTAACAACAAAGTCTCCAATGGAGATGTTACTGGACCCGCTCGAGCAAATCGACGATCAACGGGAGGGCCTTTACCTTTACCTTGTGTGCATGTGCGTGTGCGTGCGTGCGTGCGTGCGTGTGTGTGTGTGTGTGTGTGTGTGTGTGTGTTTTAAATTTAAATTCAGTAAGACCATTTTACTTATCTTTAAAGTTGACTAATTGCTTTGGAATCATGCAGACTTAGCCAAAATTAAATTGTGCATAGGCTTACTTCTCTTTTCAAATCCTTTTGTATTTAACTGTTTTATAATTACTAAATGTTCTATTCTCTCAGAAGATATTCTGAGGGAGAAGTAAAAATATAACTTTTGCAAAGCCATTTCCATTCTTTCAAAGGTCTGCTGGTAAATTATTCTTACTGATCTTTCCATCTTCCTGGCCTGTGCATACACACCTAACCCATACTAAATTTCACCAGATGGCATTTTATTTCTTTAAAGTAAAGCATTCGTGGGTTTAGACAGTTGAATTTTTAAACTTCTGTATTTACTGAAAGTGCATATGGTGCTATATGGACAAAGAAATTTTGCTGGAAGAAAAACATTTCTGTCTGCAATACCTTTAAAATTCCCAGAGGAAGAAAAAGTGCAATTATACTGTATATTTCTCTCGAAAGCTTTTGTGGCCCTAATTTGTTTACTCTGCTAAAGATTGTAGATACAAGTATTACACGTACCTTGAAGTTTATATTATCTTAAATTTTCCTTTTTTCCAATAAGAAGGTTATATTAAAACCATTGATTTGTGAAAGTGATTTGTGAATGAATTCTGGAAGAAAATTAAACATAAATATAAAATTGTTTTTAAAAAAGTAAAAGAAAAAAAAACCTCTGTATGTCAACGTAAGCAGATGTTGGTGTAGAATTTACAAGGATGAGAAGGCTATAAAACCTCCCTTGAGCCACTCACAGTTCATTTCAAGGCCAAGAACGCCCCCAAAATCTGTTTCCAATTTTACAGAAATCTTTTGAAATTTGGCACGGTATTCAAAAGTCCGTGGAAAGAAAAAAAAAATCAAAACTTGTCCTAGCGTCAGCTTCCAACTACGAAGACAGACTTGCTTCTTTTCAACGGTTTTCACAAATCCAGTGACCCACGTTCTGAAGTCAGAATTAGCTAATTTTTAAAAACATCTGGGAAAATGAAGGTTAGTATCTGTAGCTCCAGATATTGCTAACGAATGAGAACTGGTTGAATTGAGTGAGATTAAAGTTTTCTATTGTTTGGAAAGTGAAGGTTTGTGCCTAAGTATTGGCTTCCTGGAGTGGGCTGGGATGGGGAAATTGTTCTAAATATACTGTAGAAACTTTTGTCCTTGTGGAGTTGGATGAATTCCAGCAATTATACCCAGATCAGTTGAAGACAATCTAAAGCTTTGTAGGGAGGGAAAAACAGGATTTAGGTGTAAACAAAGTCTTGCCACTACTACTCTTTAGCAGAAACTGTGCATATGTCTAATTTTCTTTATTTTATATAGACATGGCAAAAAATTGTATTTGGAATTGCTACTTCTGCTGGCTTTGCTTTATTGGTGATGTGCATTGTCTTAGGTCCTTCAAGAGGTAAGAATGTTCTTTAATTTTCTCTATCTGCCTAGAAAATATCAGAAAGAGCTCTAATGCATGGTCACAAGTGATTGAATGCTTATTTTCCAAGATAAGTCTATTTTTTCTAAGACATATCAGCTCACAGATATGTTGTTGTGCAACCAGAAATGCTGAGGAATTTAAGGCATGAGTAGGAAGAGATTTACAGTGTTATTTCAGCAATAGAAAAACTTAAGCACTGGTCTGTTGCACCCCCACATCCCACCAAAATATATGCTAAATTACAATCTTTGACAGGCCTTCCTTCAAGAGATCGTATTTTAAAATAACATTTCTCTTTTATATTAGTGTTTTTTTATTGGAAAGTAAAAGTGATTAGAGTGGAAAAGCTAAAAAAATTAAGGAGTTTTTTTTTAATTGGGTCTTTCAAACAAATTTTGGAGGAAATCAAGAATAGAAATCTTGAGAAACGAGGTATAAGAAAAGTGAAATTGTTATAAATACAGTAGCAATGAAAAATTAGAGGTCAAATATTCAACCATTAATACCAGCAATAAGCTGATTTTTTAAAAAGTGTATAATAAAAGTGATCTTGCATTGCTGAAACTGGAAGTTACTATGGAATGATATGGGATTAATTTGAATTTAAATTAAGCCTGCCTATAATTAACTCATTGGTGTTGATATAAGAAGGAACGTTTTCTGTGAAACTATTTTTGAAGAGAAACTGAAATTCTTAAACGGGGCAAAGTATTGTGCCATGAGTCTAGGGGAACAGCAATTATTAAAATCCTGTAAGAACTAAGGTGGAAATTTCTTTGGTTGAAAGTTGTCTGAGGAACCTGAGCAATAGTACAGTGAGTAGGGAACTTTCCTTGCATGTGGCTGACCTGGGTATGATCTGACACCCCAAATGTTCCCCCAAGCCCACTGGTAGGGATCCCTGAGTACAGAGCATGAAGTCAGCCCTGGGCAGTGCTGATGTAGTCCCCCAAAACAAAACAAACAAAAAAATTAAATTAAAAGTTGTCTGATAAAATAAGGATAAGCGATAAGCCTTTTGTTAAAGAATACATGAATCCTGTATGAACTATTGCTTTAAAATATGAAATGTAGAAAAAATATTTTAAAAATTCAAAATGCTCCTGGGATTTTAACAGAAGTTAAAGATGAAAACAAAAAGCAACATTAGTGTTCATCTTTAGTTATTATTCCCATTCAATAGCACTGTAGCACTGTCCTCCCATTGTTCATCAATTTGCTTAAGCAGGTACCAGTAACGTCTCCATTGTGAGACTTGTTACTGTTTTTGGCATATCAAATATGTCACAGGTAACCTTCCAGGCTCTGCTGTGAGAGCGGGATACACCTGTAGCTTTCCGGACTCTCCAAGATGGATGGAGGAATTGAACCCAGGTCAGCTGTGTACAAGGCAAACATCCCACCTGCTGCGCAGTCGCTCCGGCCCTCCCAGGATGGTTGAGTGGTCTAAGGCGCCAGACTCCCATTCAATAATAACTAACAATTATTCTGTTGATGTCTGTTTTTCATATGCATTTTCCATAATTTTTAATTTCAAATTGTTTTGAGACCAGTGTTTTATGTGCCTAAGTGTTTTGGAATGCATATTTTGCTGTATTATCAATTGTCAAATAACAAATGAATTTCTATTCACCTATTAAATGATCTAACTTTCAGATGGAATTTTATGTTATTACTAACTATAAGTAGAAAAGTCACAAAAACATCTGAAGAATACATTATATATATGAAAAACTTTCTGAGAATGTTGTTTAATAAATATTATAGGATATGAACAGGAAAGGGACAAGACTGGAACCCTCTTTCCCTCCAGTCTGTCTATTAGAAGTCTTGATGGTTCACTCATCCTTAAACTTGCTTCTTTCTCCTCATACCCCAACCTCAACCATGTCCCTTCTGGGGCTTCAGGTTCCATGGTTACAGTTAAATCTCCCCAGAGTCTGAAAGAACAAGACAGGAGAGTGAAAGGCAAACGAAGAATAAAGTATTCAAAACTAAGTAAATTTCTCCTTGGCCTTCTTCTACACTTCATCAGCAATCCCAATACCTTTTCCTGCCTTATATGAGCTTCTATACTTCACTTGAGGCTTATGTGTCACCAACAGAATAATAATGATTAATTCAGTCCCACTAACTTCTTGCCCACAATTGTGCTAGCTTTTAGGGAAATAGAAGGTGCAGCAACCTAGGTTGTTCACTGAAAGGCAGAGCTAGAACCCATATATAGTCATGACCACTATTTTAGGAAGGATTTATGTCATTTCTCATCAGGTCTAAATGAAAGACAAAAAGAGAAGGTGAGTGTCCCAGAAATTTCTGAGTCTGAATTTAAAAATCATGGGAGGAATTGGGTAGAATTTTAGGAATAAATAGAAAAATTTAGTAGTGAAATGAGAAAGATCATATAGCTCATTCATGTAACAGTTAAGATTAGGATAACTTTTTTAAAAACTAAATTTTCACATTTTAATTTTTTATCACAATCAAAGGGCTGGAGCGATAGCACAGGGGTAGGGCATTTGCCTTACAAGCGGCCAACATGGCCGACCCGAGTTCGATTCCTCCGCCCCTCTCGGAGAGCCCGGCAAGCTACCGAGAGTATCTCGCCCTCACAGCAGAGCCTGGCAAGCTACCTGTGACGTATTGGATATGCCAAACACAGTAACAACAAGTCTCACGATGGAGACGTTACTGGCCCGCTCGAGCAAATTGATGAACAACGGAAGGACTGTGACTGTAATCACAATCAAATCTATATGGGTTTCTACCCATTTGTCCAAGCCTATTCTCCTGGGACTTAATCTGTTTTCTTTTATTTGATTGTTTCCTGCCTCTCATTAATTTTTCTTTCTCTTCTTTTTATTTATATTTTTTTGGTCACAAACAACAGTAGTTGGGGGCTATTCTCAGCTTTGGGCTCTGGGCTTGGTCCCAGCAATAATTGGAGAACTGTGTGGAACCTGGGGTCAAACTTAGACCACTTTCAGGCAAAACATGTACCCAACCCATTGAGCTATCTTTCTCATCTGTGACTTTTCTCTCCTCATGCATCTTCCATTTTACCCATTTGAGAAGAGAGAACATATCTGAAAATAAAAACTGTGTTCCTAACCTTCTTAATTTGCCCAATTCCAAACAAGTATATAGGCTTCTTTCAGGGGGCTCATAAGGAGTGGGAGACAGCAAAAATTAGAATTGTAAAATGACTGTATGTCGAGAATTTTATAAGCAAGTAATATTTGTTCTTGTTTCACAAGAAAATTTTAAGAAAATTTACACTTTCTTAATTCCTGGATCTTTATGAAAGGAAAAGGAGGAGCTAGAGATCTGCTCTATCCTTGAGTTCTATAAAGAATACATCTTCACAGGATGATAAAGAAACGCTCAAAATTAGCTATTATTTTTGGAAAAACAATAGCTACTTAGTAAATGAGTTAGATTTTTATTATTCATCATAACACACACACACAAAGACAATGATTAAGCTTTTCTTTGTGATATATTTTAATTCCAATAGTGTCCTTCTTAATTCTGAAAATAGAAGTTTTCCTATATCCTGGCATCAACATGTTCCTCTCACCTTACACCCAAATCCCTGATAAACCAAATAAATAATTTTCAGACACTTTTGTGTGCATGGTATTCATCAAGGATGTTGGCAGCTCAGTCAAAATCATGAGAAGAAAGAGAGATGAAATATAAAGGAAGTTAAAGGTTGATATGACAAGAGATAGAGAACAAAGTTGAGTGATAAAAATAGAGAGAGAGGATACACAGTGAGAAAAATGTAAAGTTCTTCTGGGCAGTGTCTGTGTCTCTTCGTGAAAGAAGAACAATTTTTCCTTTACTCTTATTTTCCTGAAGTCCTCTAACTCTAGTCATTTTTATCATTAGCTGTCATTGTTTTCACATGAAACTTAAAGAATTGGTGTAAATTTATATCAATTAGCATTATTTTAAATTACAAGGTTTTTGCATAAACATTTCATTTTTTTAGCTAACCTACCTGACAAGAGTTGAATGAAAGGCAAGTTTTATCTTTATTCTATTTTAGCTACTATTTGTGTTTAATTTTGTATTTATTAAAAAAGCATTTTGTTTATATGACTGTATTGTTTTAGGGGTAAAATTTCACTGTCACTGTCACTGTCACTGTCCTCCCATTGTTCATTGATTTGCTTGAGCGGGCCCAGTAATGTCTCCATTGTGAGACTTGTTGTTACTGTGTTTGGCATATCGAATGTGTCACGGATAGCTTGCCAGGCTTTGCCATGCGGGCAAGATACTCTCAGTAGCCAGTCGGGCTCTCCGAGAGGGGTGGAGGAATCAAACTGGGGTTGACCATGTTGGCTGCGTGCAAGGTAAACGCCATACCCTCTGTGCTATAGCTCCAGCTCTTCAAAATGGTTAGCTGTTCATCTCATCAGTATTTTACCCTCTCCCTCTATCTCTTTCTCACTGTCTCTCCGTCTCTCATGATATCAGTACTGTGGGCATAGTCCAAGGTTGTATTTCTTTTGTTTTTGTGTTTTTCTGCTGTGTTTGCTTTTCTATATCTAATATATGAGTCAGATCATTCAGCACTTGCACTTTTTTAAAAAAAGAATTTATTTCACTTAGCACGATCTCCACTCTTTACATCAATGATGTCACAAAAGGCAAGCTTTCATTTTTTTTCTTATTCTTGTGTATATATTTTTCTATTACTGTGTACATATCTCCATGTTACTGGACTTTGGGGTTGTTTCCAAATTTTGGCTATTGTAAATAGCACCACACTGCAGTGAACATAGGTGTATAGATAATCTTCTTTTAGAATTAGTGATTTTGTGAATAGACACCCACGAGAAGAATTGCTGTATCATTTTTTTTCTTGTTCACTTTTTTTATTATTATTATTAGTGAGACACCATGAGGTGCAGTTGTAGACTTACAAATTTTTGTGCTTGGATTTCAATTATACAATGATCAAA